AAACAAATGTCTTTGTGTTAATATTTTTGAAAAATTTAACTATTAAAACTTAAGAAGAAATTAGTTAAAAAATATTTACTTGTATATACATAATTTCAATACTTTCTGAGGAGTGCGGGGTACTGGACAATATCTATAGTTATCAATCGACGATTTTGGAACACCATTTCCTTGATTTGCATAATGTGTTCAGTTGACGCTATTGAAAGTTCTGAAAGCGTTCTGCAACATTCTTAACGGTTCGACTGCAGAAATTATATTCTTTTCACAAAATTAAGTCGAACTTGTTTGTGTGGCAAGCGCAGGGACAACACGTGACTTTTATGCAGTTTGGAAATCGGAATAACACAAACATTGCGGACAATCAGAGACCAAGTAAAGTTGTAGTTGATGTTGTTGTCGCGGCTAATGTTGGTGTTGGTCCTTACGCTGATGGGTACACAATGAAGTGCAGGCTGTGTGCCGCCGGTCCAAAAACAACCCCAACCCTTTGCCCACGCTTTTAGCATAACAGACGGGTTTGAGGTTAAACGCTTCGACATGCTTTGTGAGCACATTACACCAAAAAAAATGTGGTACAGTTGTCACACAATTACCTACCACGAATTCACATACTCTAAGTATATACGAGCTCATGTTTGTATTGTATACATACTGGTATCTATTGCATCGAAAAGTTGACATGCCGTCTAAACACACGAGCTCGAGATGCACCACACGGTCTACTGGCTGTTCAAACGTCGGGTAGGATAAAAGAGAGCAGAAGAAAGCAGCAGCAAACGAACAAATGTAAAAAATCATTGAAAATACAGACCAGACAAAAAGCAATATGTAAATTATGAATTTTGTGTAAGCAAACAAAAGAAAACGTTCTAGTGCATCAAAGAAGAGCAAAGGGACGGAGTATTAGGGAGGGAAAAATTGTGTGTCTTTTGTATACGCAGCCATTAGTCCAGCTACTGTATTAAATCAAGCGCATGAGCTATTAAGACAATTTTAACAGATTTACATCTACATATATATAATGGAATTAAATGATGATAATATAACTCTATTTATAGTAGTTTCTTATAGTGGTTCAAACAAATAATTAGAATGTGATTTCAAATCGTCTGAAGTAAAGTAATTTCAATATAAGTGCCACAAATAATATAATCTATTTTAACGTACATAGCTGTAACGGTTATACAAGTATTTCAGTCAAACAATAATCTTACTCCTGTTAAGCAATGCGAATAAACTGAAATGTTTAATTCTCAATGAGTCAATATAGAACAATGTCTTTGCACCTTTAACATGATGCAAACTATTGCTCTTGTAATAATTTCTTGTTCTACAGACTATACATTTTTCAGTCTACAAGCTGCGTTCGTATTTCAGTTTAAATAGTAACGTTTTTCTGTACATTTTAGAAGCAACAATCAATATTTCATTAAAAGAAGCAATAACCGGTGCACACTTCCCGACAGACTTCCAGTGTTTCTTTCCATGGGCTCAGTACTGATGCATACGACGGCCTCACATTTGCTAGCTACTTGAAATGCCATTGGCTTTCTTTTGATGGATGGTATTATTTTTTCTCCTAGTAGTCTGTTGAAAAAACACATTTTTTCGGTTAGTAGTCGTTGGCGGGCTGCACTGGGGCCTTAGCAGGATCTAGCATGTTTTTCATTGTAGCTTGACAGGCCGTTTTAGGCACTGCTTCTATTACGCTTGTCTTTAAATAACAAACCACATCTGCAAGAAAAACAAAAGTAAGAGAAAACAAATAAAATAAGGTAAATAATAACTACATGAAACTAATACCAGAGTGCCGGTGCAGCGTGGGAGCTCAGACCACCCTTAGGTTGGCCTAAACATATGCTTCGAATTAGACATGTTAAGTAACCCTTTGGCACTTAAGGGCTCGATGTGTCTCGAATGGCGTGTGCAAAATGGGGTATCCCATAAAAACAGATGCGTTCTTAAGGATAAAAAAATGGCTTGGGGTGAAATTCATGTGCCATTTCTTGTCACTTTTACAAGGATGCTCTTGAATGATTGGTACTGGCTGATGTTGTGGGTATTAATTGCGTGTAATTGCTTGAGTTCTCATTGCCTGCAGGAGTTATGGCATTGCGGCATGAGTTTTATGTGTTTTGATGAGGTCGTTTAGCACATCTTAAGCGTCCTTTAGGAAAGGATCTCCTTCGTCTCCATATATGAGTTGCGCATTATGCATTGTGGTTCATATCAAAGTTTAAAAATCTAATTATTTATCGTTTATCCGTTGTGCGTTGGTTGTAGACCCATCATTGTTGTAATCGTTATTAATTCATTGTCTATCATCGAGCAATTCCATGCCTGACATTGTATGCATTTTGTGGGACGCCTCAGCGACTCGAGCGAATTCGAGCTGCTCGCTCTGCATCCATTGTTTTGCCTTCATGACTGTGACTGCTGGTGCTTCTCTAAGATATTATCGACAATTCGTTGCCAATAACAAGCAGTTCTCCTTTTAATGGCACCGTGGCCGAAAAGTATTACTGACCTCGATCATTACTCATATATCTAATTTTCAATGAATATAAAAATGGTGTGCGTCAAGCTTGTTGAGATTTACATAATAAAATTATAGTTAGTTTTATCGTCTGTAATAAAGAGTTCTTAGTGTTCAACATTGATTCTATATGTATTTGTAAGAAGGAAAAGTTTTCAATACTCCCCTTTTGTGTACACATATAACGCATCTGTGTCGAAAAGTTGGTATTTCTAGCTCTTATAGTCTCTGAGATCTAGACGGACAGACAGACATCGACTCGACTGCTAATGCTGATCAGGATCAAACATATATTTTTCCCATTTCACAAACCATATATACTTTAGGTAAATTAAATTTTTTTTTTACTTTAAAAAATTAAATTCAAAATTCAAGATAAATATTGGTTAATTCATTTATAACCTGCATAACAATTTATTAAATTCTAGTGGGATATTTATGGAGCTTATGGATTCGGAGCGCCTAGGACTATGTATTTCAGAGCTTATAAATTTTGCAAAGGAAATAATCAGAATACGGCACTGTGCGTCACAGCATTTGAAGCGGTCGAGATCGACCAACGGACTGACAGACTAACAACGATGCTCAGGATGGGCGGTAACTTTTGCCTTCTGTTGGCTATTGTCCACTTAAGCCATCGTACATGTACAGGCACACATGTGTGACTAGTGCAATTGTTGGAGTTTAGACCAGAGTCCATTGTTATGCACGGACAATTGTACAAACAAACATACCTACATACTTATATTCATACGTGTATAGAGACCATTGTTTGGCCTGCCAATACATATGGGCATAAATATATAAACACACACAAGCAAACTAAGGAGATTGTGCCTTGTTGTTGTTGCTGTTGACTTTTCGAGTTTGGCAAGGCGCACAATGCCACACAATACCTATTGAGCAAATTGATATCCAATAATTTAGTTTTGTTTACCGTTGTGGTTCGGGTGGTTTTGCTCGCTTGCTTGTTGTTCATGTTCATGTGTAAAGTGGTGGTGCATGTTGTTGCTGTTGCCGGGAAAATAGTTTTGTAATTTGCACTCTAGATGACAGAGCTGTGTAACCGATATTATTGTCAGTAAGCCCGTCAGTTAGTGAGGCAAACCGTCGTTCCCCTTCCAGCCTGTCCCTTTTTGCTATTGTAAATTTCTAAAATAATCTTGTGTGTGTGTTTGAATTGAATGTGCGTGTGCGTGTGCATATGCGTGGGCTTACCATGCTGGTCATTTTGGCAACTGGCCCTTTGTTCCTGTTCGGCTGTTCTTGCGGCTGCCTTTGTGGCTTTAATTATATTATAATTTGTTTATGTGTCATGTGTCCAAATTCGGCAAGCGAAACCATTTATGTGAAAAATAATTTCACACTTTCCATGAACACGCTGCCGCACAATGCAGATAGAACAGATATCTGAATTATAGTTTTAATTTGATTTTAGTTTGGTCGTGTGCCGCATTTTGGCTGTGATATTAGTTGACGATAATGATGATATGGCTTAACGCTTTTCAAAAACAATTATTATTTTTCGTTGTATAGTATCTGATGTTTGGTTATTGCTGCGGGTGTGATAAAGGAGTGTAAGCGCTTTTCAATTATATATTTTGTGGTTTTTGTTTGTTAAACTGCCCACGCCTTTTTATATAGTCCCACGGGAACTAAATTTGTATTTAAACATAGAAGAAGAATGCGTATTGGCGTATTAAATTACTATTACTTCGTTGAGTAATCTATCCTTTATCACATTAAATATTGTATATAAATCGTACTAATTCAATCACAATTCATCCAAAAATATATTTTTAGAAAAGCCTTTGATACCTTCTTAAAAAACGCGCAACTAGATTCTACAATTTAAAGGACCGCCCTTATTATTTGATTTGTATGGAAATTATTTGGAAGAGTCTTTTGAATACACAATCTTTGTGCTTACATTTTTGGAGCAATGTGTGACTTACCCCAGTGGATTGCAGAACTATTAAGTGAATACTGCGTTTTAATGATTTATTAATGGTCTTTAAGTTTATTAAATATTTTAACACAGTGTTTTAAAATGTTTTATCTAACAGATAATGCGATTTACATACACAATAATCTCAATAGCTTATATTTATTTCTAATATTTTGTAGTTCTTAACTGTTTTATTCATATGGTACAATACATTTGCTGATCTTTGCTTAAAAAGCCACAGTACTGTTATAGTTTACAGTGTACATGCAGACGAAAGCAATGCGACTTTGAATCCAAGGATATAGCCAGTGGTTACACTCGTCGCATTCAATATCTAAGAGAATGTTATAGATGTATATCAATGTTAGGCTAGGTAAATTTCCTAATGAAATATAAACTAGAGCATGTGGAAATTAAAAAGTCTCATGAACATTGTCAAAAGAAGGCGGATTGTTACTCGAATGGTCTGAATACTACAACGCCGAGTGCTTCGGCGTTGTTGTTGTCGGTACCTCAATCCTGGGAGTCGCCTGCATTACTAGCGCGATCAACAGCCATACTAGTGGCTCCATTCGATTCCGATTGTTCGATATCCGCGGAACTGAGTACACCAGGCAGGTAACCCGTACCGGCATACGGTGCTGATAAGAAGCGTTTGGCATGCGCCTGCATGAACGGATGATATCGATGCGTGGGCGATCCAAATACAGAGGGTGGAACCAACGGGGAGAAGGCGGACTTCATCGGAAATGGTGGTGAAGGCGGCACAGTGGGAGGCGTAGTGCTGGCACCACTCAGAGCCATATCCTCGCCGGATAACATAAATTCCATGGCCTGCAGTACATCACCACGAAAGCGCTGCATAAGCTGCTCCACATCACTGCGTCGCCGGTTGGGAAAGACACGCATGAGGACATCGATAGGAGAACGTTGCTGCTGCTGGGCGACAGCTGCGGCGGCCAAATGTTGCTGGGCATGCTGCTGGAGAGGCGAGTGAGCGGCTGGATGATGAGTAGGGATGCCGGCGGCAGCCAGGAACTGCGTGTGATGGTAGGGCATAAAGCCTTGCGCATGTCCATTGCTAAAGGAGCGCAGCAAGTGAAGATTTTCGGCGGGTGTGTTCGGTGGCGAAGTTGAATCCTCCTTCTTCAGACTGAGATTCTCGGGCGTGGCTTCGTCGGGCGCAGAATCTACATCAAGATCAGACTCTGGCGAGCTAGGTGGGCCCGTTCGCGCCGGCGATAAACTAGCTGTTAGGTTAAACAAACCCGCCACCTTTGGACGCGGACTACTGGGCGATGACTCGGAGCCTGTGTCCTGGTCAGTCTCATTTGAGAGGCCAGTACCGCGTTTAGAAACTAAAAGGCAACACACAAAACAGAGAAGAGAGGATGATTAAAAAAAATCAAGGCAGGTAGCTACAATCGTTGAAAATACATTGTGGGAAACTCTGCGGTTTCCACTTGCTGCGAAAAGCAAATAAAAGTATCGAATTGTTTTCAGCAACTAAACAAATAAAACACACAAAAAATGTAATCACGGGAATCGCAAATAAATGCGCAGCATAAAGGTTGATATGACAACTAGAGACAGGAAAGGACAAGGCAAGGGGATGGCAATTGCAACCTGACAAATGAAACAAGTTATACGATATTTTTTCTATTCGGGTTTCCCGTCAATGCAGAAGCACTTGGCAGTGAAAATTTAATTAAATTGCTCCGTCGTTGAAAACGAATTCTAGGGCATTGGCATATCCCGCTACAGGTAAAAGCATTTTTCTAAATATTCATGCGTGAAATCGTCTTGGATTTCAGTGCAAATATAACCTGTAGGTTACTAGAGTTCGATTGATTCGCGTGAGAGTTCTTGGCTGTTGTTCGTAAGGGAAACAAGAAAGGCAAATAAAAACAGACAGCCGCAGTCAGTCTGTAGCATAAAGAGTGGCTCACATTACGACTTCACTCTGGCGTTACCTTGCGCTACGTGACGTAAAATGATTGTAATAGGTCTAATAAGTGCATATATGTAGAAGGCCCCTGGGGCTTTGAAAGGGTTTGCATTTATACCTATGAGAGAAACTCATAATGAAAGATACAATGAATAGTCACACCTAGTTTTCATTAGAAATTGTATACAATTTTTTAAAATAAGATAATCCGAAGTTATTGTGTGGGAATCAGGAACTTATAGAATTGGTTAACTTTGTAGGATATCAGTTCCTAAAGTCTACAATATATTATCGAATACAATTTAATGCCCACTTATTACATGGGAATTTATTTGAATTTATGCAAGAACGTTTAATCTTGTAGACGCGCGTTAAGTAACGCTGTGCAAATGGCAAATGTAAAATATGTCCAATAATGAAGCCTGCGGATAAAACGGATCTTGTAGCAAATCTTTTTTTAAATGCAAGCGCAAGCACACCCTTTTACAAACACCTTTATAAACAGTGTCGATTTATTTAAGCACTGCTGGATAAAATGCATGGCAATTGCTTCACTGGGGACTGACGTGCTGAAATCTTTGTCAGGCCAACACATGCACGCTCTCAAAGCAGAGAGTGTGGCAGTATATGCGCCGTTACACTCTTCACAATTGAAAACGAATTTCATGACGTTTTTATAACGCACATTTAAACATAAAGTATTCTTAGGCGCCTGGCCAAACGTAAAGTACCAAGCCACGGATAGAATTAAGAGGAAGTCTTTGCAACCGTTTTACACATGTGCAACTTCAAGTGTTTGCCATGGCGCTCAGCAAGGCGTAAATATAATAATTTCATTTCGCTTACCTGGACTCTCATCCAGCTCCGTGCGTGTGGGTGAGAAGCCCACGCTCAGATGCTCGGAGCGTGTGCGTCCATCCGTGTCCGATTCATTACCATTGTAATGCAGTTGCGTCAAGTTGCGCTGCTGTTGTTGAGGGTGCTGCTGTGGTTGCTGATGATGCTGATGCCCTGGTGTGCAATTGGCTTCGAAGCCATCACTTGGGGGCGAAGGGATTCCACTGTGAAAAGCGCTGTTCTGGGCAGCAGCAGCTGCAGCGGCAGTGGCGTTTGTCGGACTGTGTGGTGTAGGCGTATCGCCGCCACCACCGCTTCCATTCTGCTGATTTGAACCGGGGACCGATGTATACAATAGGCCCAGCTCACGCGCCTCATTCTCCTCCTGCGCCTGCTGGCGGCGCAATGCAACCTGGTGAAAAACAGATGATGGCAAAATGTGGTCTAATTGTTGGTTCTATTTGAATTTGGGAGTAGGTGAGCTACCAACCTGTGCGGCCATTACTCGCTGGCGCTCGGCAATAAGTGTGCATTTGGCGCACACACAATCTCGCCAACGGCAATAACGCTTGTGTCCTTTCAAAGCGCTAACCTGTAAGAGAGATGAGCATTGCTTGTTATTGCGTAATAGCTTAGGTAAAACCATATAATCTGTGCATTTAAATTAGTTTTGTGAACAAATAATATTGCGATTTAAATTTAAATGCTTAAAATTTGCTCAAATCTTTAAGAATTACCAAAAAAACCCGAAAATTTTAAATACTACATTTGATAGGCTTATTATTTATGAAGCTTTGATTATATTATATGATTTGTATTACTTCGTATCTAATATACCTGGTAAGAAATAAAGTCAATAGTTTCTGTTATACATTTAGGAAATCTTTACATATATAGAATGTTAGAATATTCCCATACATTGTTTTGATCAGAGACTGCAGAGAGTACATTTTCTTAAAAGACACTCCTTATATAGAAGTACTTGTATTCCTCTAAATCGTTTAAATTCAATGCCTATATTGGAATGACATCAATCATTAATGGCTTTGGTTAGACTGCTTAAAAGTGGGATACAGTTTCGGACCTTATATGAGTATTATAAATAATATATCAATAATTTTATTGAAGTGTACTGACCACGCCATGATTACGGCATCGGGCGCATTTGGGAGTACGTTGGTAGCGCTCTGAGGCAGCGCGTAGGAAAAATGCTGGTGGCAGGGCGCCCAGCACGGGGTGCTGCGACATAAGATTCTGCATATCCACGCCCGACGGTAAACTCATAATGAACTTGTAGATTATTTTCGATAGTTTGTAGACGCACTTGGACACACACCAACACAGAAATAGAGATACTTAGAGAGTAAGCTTTTTTGTTGCACTTTTAATTTAATTATTTTAAACGGAATTTTTTTATAGTTTATCGATTTGTTTATAGTATATATCAGCATTGAAATAAATTATTTTCTACGCTGCTCAAATCGAACGTAGCCACAGACGATGAAGCGCGTTTGAGCGACATGACACAGAGAGCATTCGATTGCAACTGACTCAAGTTTAACTTTGTCGCTGGTTAAACTGAAACGGCAGCAGTAGCAGGAGCAGCGACAGTGACAGCGGAAGGGGAGGCAACAACGAGTTTCAAGGCAAATGGCGGCGAGGGCCGCAACGGCAACATTTACCAATACAAAAGCCGCTTGTACCAAACACACACACACACATATATATATGTATATATATATATATATATGTATATATATTTGTATGTATATATATACAGCCAGGGTAACACGAGGGTTGAAAATACATATAAAATAGACATTCAGAGAGTGTTGCAACCACCTTTGTGTTGCGTAGTTGGTTGCGCAGCAGTTGCCGTCGATGACTGAGTGAATAGGGATGTGAATCAGGAGAGGTCGGAGGCGCGGGTGTATACTGGACGGGCAGCGACGCTGATTCTGGCTGCGCCTCAATTAAGAAAAAGTTTCAAATATAATTTGGTACTGTATATAAAATTGTGCACTCGACTCGAGGCAGCGGCAGCGACGGTAGCTGCGGCGGCGTCGTGGCGTATGAGCAATATGGTACCCCTGTCTGTGAGTGCGGCTCTCGATGCTGTTGGTGGTGTTGGTTCTTCTTGTGTGCGGTGGTTGTTTGAGGTTTCTTTAATTTTCTTTGTTGCTTTTGTTTCACAATTTCTGTTGTTTGTAGTGATCTGTGTGTGAGTGTTTATGTGCTTGTCTGTGTGTATAAGTGAGCTTTGGCAATGCTAATGGAATAGCCAACCAAAAACGTTGTTGCACTTCAGCTACGTTGCGGCCTCGTTTCTGGTTGGTATGGCTGTGTAGGCGACGTACTTTTATAAGAACACACACCAACGCAACTGACACAGTTGGCACACTTTGTGCTTGATTCTGTTGCTTTTAAAACAGAAATAGGCTTTGCTACGTGCAAATGGCGTCGTCAGGATTTAGTAGGTACATCTACAAAAATTGAAGGATTACAGTACAGATAGATACAGTATATGTATATTCTTAGCATGCCCATATAGTAAATTAAAAACTAATTGGTAAACAATTTGGGATGTTTTTAAAATATTTGGAGCCCCCTTATGTCAACGAAATTAATATCAACTTGCATGCTGTATGATATGTATACGCGGATGGTTGTGGTAAAAGCATCGTAAGGAACTACTTTGTCCTATTAGAATGTTACAAAATTATTGCAAGTAAAACAAACAGCAACTAAAGCATTAATAACAAAAATAAATATAACCGTAACAACAGCAAGTACAATCGAAGTCACGCGTATGAGAGAAGCGACGACATTTGCAGTTATGTGCGCTCCTTCTCCTTCTCTCTTTCTCTCTTTTTATGACATTGGCTCTCTGGCAGCGTTAAACTCCGCCTACATGCTAGGGCGGAGCTAAGGCAACACGCACACTCACAGCACAAAGCGGCTACAATGTTTTACAAGTTGGCAAAAGAAACAAGTTTCCAAATGAGGAGAGGAGCAGTAACGACTGACGCAGTGCGGCAACTACAACTACTTTACTGCCCTAGAGCTTCGCTCTTCGTACTTATATATTATATTTGTATATATGTATACGTAGTAGATTGTATGTGTTCGGGCAGCACAAGGACAACACTCACACTTTCATAGTGTGTTAGCAGTCACAGTCGTTGGCAACTGTAAATGGATAGAATTTGTTGTTGCTGTTTTCATGAGTACGCTACCGAGCAGCTACCGGTTTTTGCTCGGGGCCAATTTCTCGCATTTTAACTTTGTTTAAAGTACAATTATACATACATATGTAGGTAAATATGTATTTGTTTAGGTATGTACCAGTAAGTGTAAATGTGTGTGACGCTGGGTGGTCACTTTTTAAGTGTTTTTTCACTGCTCTGCGCCGTTTCCTAATATGCAAATTAGGTGCCTGCTTGTGGTTGACAACATACGCTGACAACTTCAATAGCCAACAAAAGCTGAAACATGTCCAATATGTCGCCACTCTTTCTCTTCTTTTCGCTGTTGAAGTGGAATGCAAAGCGGCCTATGGCAGGGTACGTGTGTCGATGCAAAGCGCTGGAAGAAGAAGAAGGGTTGGTCGTTGTGAGGGACTATTTATGTTATCATATTGACAATACGATGGAAAAACCGACTTTCCAAAATTTAGCCTTTGTATCATTTTGTCTTGTATTCGAATTCCCTCCCAGCTAACGTTATTCTTTCTTTTTATTCTATTCTTTTTAAATTTTAAGTGTTTTTTCTTTTTTACTTTTAGCTTATAAACAGTTTTGTATAAAGCATGTCAGCAGTTTCCATGCTGAACATTTTTAACTGGTGTTCAATTTTAGTCAGTAGCCATTCGTCAATTGTAGGGCACATGTAAAGCGCCGATGCCCATCAAGTGACCGAACGACGAAACTTGAAATCACTTGAGATCATTGCTACTATACTTGTTGTTCGTCGATATGAGCGCTTTTGATGCCTCCGATGAATCTGAAGTGGTCAGGTGAGCAGCCAGTTATGAACTGCTTCTGATTTGGACAGAGCGACAGAAATGAGAGACAAAAGAAAAGTGCCTTAAAATGTTGACAAATATTTGCTGTGCATTGGCCGCAAAATTATTTGATCAAGACCACCGAAAGTATACAAAGATCTTTTTGGTTGTCTCTATGCATGCTGGTGCCCGGTCAAACCGCAACAACAACAAAAATTTTACAAAAAATTAAAAAAGAAACTTAAAGACATGCGGCTAATGAGATTTCCTTGCGTCATTGCCTCATTCATTCATTCGACTGCGATACGGGACTATGTTTGTTTATTGTTTCGCTGTACTTGTTGTAGCTGTGTGAGTTGTGTTCGTTTAAACTTGTGTTTCGATGTTGTCTTGTGTGTGGTGGATCGTTCAAAGCAAAGACAATATTTGAGCAATCATCGAAGCAATCGTCGAAAGGCACACATAGCACGAACGAACATTGTCTCTATTTCGTAAGGCCTTCTGCAGACAGTCCACAATTGCCTGCCCACTACAGGAACAAAAACAACAGCAATAACAGCATCGAACACTTTCCATTTGGAACTGTCAGCCACAGGCATCGTCGGCGTCGGCTTTGGCATTCAATTGTGGACAGGGGTGAAAAAAGTTAATTTAATTTCAAGTGTGTGCAACAATTGTCCTTCCGTGCTTATCCCTTTCAAAAGCGCCGCTGTATCATGTTAATATAGCCACCAACAACAATGACATCACAAAAATGGTACCAGAGTCACCACCATGTTTTGTGCTTTGGTTCTTTTGAATATTGTTTTACAAGACAATTTCTTACTTAGTTGCAGGCTATGAAATTCTTCGACTTATCTTTGACATAAAGAAATCTCATTAAGTGACTTCCTTGGCTTTTAAGTTGGGCAATCGGGCGGTGGACGGTCGGTTGTCAGATGTCGGGCGAGATGCTGCTGCGAGCATCCTTGCGACTGAAGAGGCTACCACACACTTGGCTACAAGCTGAAACTTTGAACTACCATGTATTCGTGTTTGTAACATGCAACGGAGCATGAAATTACATTTTACTTTTGCTGCGTTATATGGCATTCGCACATATTCTTATTTCTTATTTTCTATTCTCTTCCACTGAAATTTCGGCTCCTAGCTCGACTGAAAAAAAGTGAAAATGGAAACTCATGGAAACGTGAAAATGTTGTTAAAAGTTTATGGAAATTATATTCCTGGTGGATTTGTGCTATTGTCGTGAATTTGAACGTTGACGAAGCCCATAAAATGTCTCATGTCATATGCAGATAGACTATAGTTCGTCAAGAGATGTTTTTTAATAAGCAGCAAGCTCGGATATTTGTATATAAATAGTTGATATATAGCGATGCACATGCACATGCATGCAAATGAATATAAGTTGTAAAAACAAAAATATTTATTTATTTATTTATTATATAGCCCTGTCTGTGTGGGCATCAGATCTCAGAGACTATAAGAGCTAGAGACAAGAAATTTTGTGCACAGGTGCCTTATATATGTACGCAGTTTAAGTGTATTAATCATTTTTCATATCCCCTCACTCCCCCGTTATTGGTAATTTGCACAACTCTTTTTTTAATATTTGATTTTACAATCTAAATATATTTACGAGTGAAAAACTGACAAACAGAATAAAAAATGACTGTCAAACATATTATTTTAATAAAGAAAAAAGCCAAAAAACGATGGTTGATTGCGTTGACAAATCGCCACGAAACTTCACAGGTTTACCCACGGGACTATTTTGAATGTTGCCAAAAATTTAATCAACATCGGTTGAGCGGTCCATACGGTCTATACGGAACATATATATATACTAGCGCACCCGTTGTCCTACATAAAATTTAGAATATTAAATGAAGTATGAAATGGAAGACAAAAAATATAAGAATTTCATTATTCTTTATTTTGAAATAACATCAATTTTATCTTAATGTATATATACATTATATATATATATATATATATATATATATATATATATATATATATATATATATATATATATATATATATATATATATATATATATATATATATACATACATACTTACATACCTATTCCCATTTTTTAACCGATTTAAAAAAAGAGGAGGTTATCAATTCGTCTGTATTTTTTTTTTATGTTTGTTACCTCGGTACTCTCGACTGGGTGAACTGTTTTTAATGGTTCTTATACCATTTGAAAGCTGGTGCTTCCAGAATGGTCCCATATAAATTAAGTCCAGTTCTGACAATGTCATCCATGAGAAAACAGTATAAGTCTTAAATTTGTATTAAGTATGTGCAAGACAAATGAACGAATAACTTTATATCACGATAACCGATTTCTATGATTCTTTTTTTATTGGAAAGGATGTACTTTAAGGGTACTTTGATGAGAGTTTGGTTAGGTTCTGCAAACGAGGACGTTCTCAATTCGACTGTATTTTTCATTGCTACCTCAGAACTTTCGACTGTGTAAACCGATTTTGATAATTACTTTTGTATTTGAAAGCTGATGATTCCCATGTGGTCCCATTGCAATTTGGTCGAGCTCTGACAATGGCATCCATGAGAAATCCATATAATTCTTAAAACATACAAAATGTTCATGGGTTTTAGATATCATGCGAAGGCACCCGGTAGATGAGTGTCAAATTTAAATGAGATATCATGTGAAATAGAATTTCAATTTCAGTATAATGCCGTCGAAAAAATCGAACCGTAACAATGCGTGTAGCAAAAATACACGACTCCAGCGTTCTAATAGCTCAAAAGTCAGAGGAACAAACTGGAAAGAGGAGTTTCTCCATGACTTCTTTTGTTTCATTTAAGCGGCGCTGTGTCATATGAGAAACACGTTTATTAGGTCTACCCATATTCATACACATTAGTTAGTGTACTTCACATTCACTAAAAATCCAAAAATAAACAACAATTTAAACAAAAAAAGAAACCGATTTCAAACTATTAACAGGCACTAAAAAGTAAAAAATAATTGCGTATTCTTCTACAACTTATTATTCAATATATAATGTAGATACAATTATTGTTATTTTTGGAGTCGGTGTCAGCCAAGGAAACACTACAATATATCAATCAATCTACCAGTAATAATATGAGAATAATTAAAGAAATACTTTTTTTTTACAAATTAACTTTTATATGAACGACAATATACTGTGACATATTAACAATACCTAATTAAACCCAATTTCAAATTAACTTTTATGCGACAATACACGTATAATTACTGTGACAATATCTGCTACCTTGAAACAACAAATAAACCGGTACCTAGTTAAACGAATCAAACGAATTTTAATACGACACTATGCTTAGACATACGGGTAATCAAGGAAATGCTGATACGAAAATATAGTCAACATTAAACACAAGGAACCGTAAGAATGACGTAGTAGATATAGAAAGAGAAAAGAATATGAAATGGTTCGTAATGAAGTGCCTCTTTCTCTTGACTGGCACGGCGCGCGGCCGCTGACACCGACTCCAAAAAGAACAATAATTGTATCTACATTATATATTGAATATTACGTTGTAGAAGAATACGCAATTATTTTTTACTTTTTAGTGCCTGTTAATAGTTTGAAATCGGTTTCTTTTTTTGTTTAAATTGTTGTTTATATATATATCGATTCTACACATAGGCAAAGAGTATTTCAAAGTCGGGGCATCCAATCCTTCTCTTATTGACACAGATTCGCAACCAATATATATTATTTCCGTATCGCATGACGTACGCTGAAGATTCCAAAGAACTCGAATTCAGCATAGAGCCAACATACACGTACAGTCACATATACAGTCTCTTACACGAAAGCCGGCGCAAGTTCGTATTTCAAACAATTTCCGTTGACTTAAAATGGCTTAAGAAATGTTATAACTGTGAAACTAGAACTGCAACAACTGAATTTATACAATATTGCGAAATCCTGGAAACATAATTTGACACCTTGTCGCCAGATCCATTATACGATCGTTAGTCGGGAGCAGGGAACAATAAACGTGGATGGTAATTTGAGCACATAACACGAATCTGAACACTCATATTCACACTCATCTACATTCATTTCCAATCACATCAATTGATGCAGGCTTGTGCCGTTAATATACACTTACCTTAAGACCACTACAGCATACATATTATGTACATTTAATATAATTTTTCAACAAACAACGAAATAAGAGAACACAAAGAGCGGCAACGCCCAAATCTCGAATTTGTTATCGACTCAGCTAGTAATCATAGACCATTGTTTTGGTATAAACACTGTTTCCGATTTCGATGCGCCTTACCTAAGACTGAAATAACGTGGCACAGCTCAGCCTGATATGTAAACCCTCATTTAAGGGTGCACGCTTTTGAGAACGCCCCTTTGGTAAAGTTCAGGCAACTGTTATTAGTTGAATGTGCACATATGCTGGGGTAATAGTAGTGGCACAGACAACCGCGCGTGGTTCTCAGCCAAGGCAGCGTATTATGAGCCGTAATTGCGCATCTCATGTCATGGTAGCGACACCTTGGACGCCCGCGGCTTGGGTTTAATTTTGGGCTAGGTAGCGCGGCAGCCAGCTGCGAATTTCATTTGATTTAATTAAAAAAATGTTGGGCTGCATAATTAAATATTTGGATTGACTAAATTTATCAATCATTACTTTTATATCCTATACCGGAATGGCTAAAAGGCATACTAGAAAGGCTAAGTTGCATATTAATCAGTCGTACAATTATTTACTTAAGTAAAATCTAAAAATCTGCAACCCCACAAGAAAATTTGTTAACTGGCTTATGGCTGGTAACACTGAACTGCCATTTAAGTGAAAAAGGGCCGTCTACAAATGCATCATCGTTCCGTCGTGGACTTACGGTACCCCAATTTGGGGGCTGACTGCAGAGTCAAACCGCAGACGGGTCCAGACGCTTCAGAATAAGGCTTTTCGGCTTATTACTGGGTGCGTCTGGTACGTCTGCACCAAGACCGTAATCTGGTGACAGTTGAAGCGGAAATCAACCGCCATACTAGCCGCTACAATGACCGGTGATCAACCATCGCAACAGGCTGGCCAGTTCCCTTCCTGATGAACGCCCAATAACACGGCTCAAAAGAAAGCATCCAGGTAACTTACTTTGATAAGATTCTAATTGTTAGCATTTATATTTTTTTGAACTCTGTTAAGTTTGGTTAGTTAAATGTTTTGTTACGGCCAAAGTTTCAGGCCGATTCCTTGCATAAATATATATAAAAGCAGGTGGAGAAGCTAAAGTCGGGTTTCCCGACTTTGAAATACTCTGTACATATGTACTACAAGTATATGTTGAATAATTATAGAAATTAAAAAAATTAAAAACAAGATAGAACACTACAGTCGGGCAAGCCCGACAGTAAAATACCCTGTAAACACTCCCACGACCCTGAAAGCAAACATTTTTAAAATAAATGTAAAGTTTTAAAATTTTGTAAAATAAATTTAACATTTTTTAAAATTTGTAATTAAATAATTCAATTAAATAATAAATAAAAAGAAACGAAAATTATAAAATATTTCTTTAATTAGTTCTACAAAACCTAATTAACGAATAAAATAAAAGAAGTAATTTATGGCTATAACTTTCTTCACAATTGACCTTTCATGATAAACATAAAAACATTGGCGTTTTAGTAAGAATTCCATTCTTTTTTGCGAATATAATATAGCCCATGTTCACTGTCGATAGTGTAGCTTTCCAACTGTGAAATAATCCATTAAATCGGTCCAGCAGATTTCAATTCAAACAAACAATCAAATCTTTCCTCTTTATAATATTAGTATTGATATATATGTACTATGAGGTCTATGAGGCTACGTCTTCTGCCTGTAAACATTTTCACAAATCGAATACATACATATGTACCATTTAGCTATAGGGTATAAGAAAATAGCTGGTGATTCTGTTTGGCACAACACAGCTTGATGGCTGATAGGGCACTATTTGAGACAAGAAATGTTGGAATATTATATGCCTGTTAAGGTAGAATGCAACAGATGGACTGGCCGAGTGACCGCTGAGTTATCAGCAATTAAAAAACCGACTTATCATTGATAGAAATACATGCGTCGTTGCTATACGGAGGGCACAACAAGTGGCTTATCGCTGAACTTTTGACACATTTAAAATTGAAACATCGCATTATAAAAACGAGCATCGGGCCTGTTTTTCATTTAGTTAAAGTCGCTCGTTAGGTTGTTGTGAAGCCTAAAAATGAAGTATTTCCTTGCTGCAGTAGCGCTATGCGCCATGGTGTGTATTTTAAAATAATAATACTTGTTTTTATAACTGATATATAATAAATAATTATTCAGACTCAAGCCGATGCTGAGTGGGTACCCAAAACAGCTGAACAGATCAAGGAAATTCGTGCTGCATGCCTAAAGGAGCACGCACTTGACGATGCGCAAATATCAAAGATGAAGCAATTGGAATTTCCTGATGAACCCAACGTTCGCCAATATTTACTATGCACTGCCACCAAGTTGGGTATTTTCTGTCCAAGCCAGGGCTATCATGCCGATCGTCTGGCGAAGCAGTTTAAAATGGATTTAAGTGAAGAAGAGGCTCTGCAAATTGCACAAGGTTGCATCGACAGCAATGCCGAGCACAGTCCTGCTGATGTATGGGCTTTCCGTGGCCACAAGTGCATGATGGCCAGCAAGATTGGAGATAAGGTCAGGGCGTACATAAAGGCCAAGGAGGAGGCAGCACTCAAGGCAAAAGTCTAGGAGTAAGCGCAAGAAGATTGCGGGAAATAAATGTAGTCCAACGTTTTTGTGCTTGAACGGAAATCCTTAAGCGAAAATTTTATTTAATGGTAACACACACATACATATGCTAAAAGCGGGGAGTGACACAAAATTTGACTAGTTAATTCCTAAATTCAAAATATATAGGTGCACGTCGCGTGTCTAGTCCATGCTAGCGATCGATGCTTAGGCGTTACCGCCTTCGGATATCCTCTTCATGGCTGCGTTTATGTGCTCAACCAGAGGCAAGCTACTGTCCAGCACGGGATTACGATATCCTTCTAGGAAGTAGCACGTGCCACCGCCATTCGATTTTGGAAATTCCTTGGGCAGACACGATGGATCACGCGGCTGAAGATCAAAATCAAATCCCTCATGCTTGGTTAACCAGCTTGGGGGAAGATAGACATATAGAGAACAAGAGTCAAGCGTGTTAGACTTGCACTTAATTATCTTACATACTTTTTGGTTGTTGGGCTGACGTTAATCTTCAACGCTTCGCTACCAGATTCGAACTTGTTGGCGATAGTCACGTTGTGTCCAAAAAGACAGTACCTGGGCATTTTTCGCCCCACCACGCCCGCTAGTACCGTTCCTGTATGTAGGCCAATTCGCATTTTGATTTGCTCACCATCGTGTGTGATGTGCTTTGAGCAGGCATCAATCATTTTAAGAGCCATCCAAGCCACTTTGTGGGCGTCGTATATCGATGCGCGATGGAGGCCGCTAGCTACACAGTAGGCATCACCAATGGTTTCAACTTTGTATACATCAAAAAAGTCGCAGAACTCGTCAAAATCCTTATACAATCCCTCCAACATGCTGATTACCATAAATGGTGTTGCACGCGAACAAATGCTTGTGAAGCCGACAATATCGGAGAAGAGAATAGTCACATCCGGATAGGTCTTCGCATCAATACTTGCACCAAGCCACAATCGCTCTGCAATCTCGGCTGGAAATATCAAGTGCAACAAGCTTACATTTTTTTTGCGCTCCTTGGTTACTGCCGAGTTGGCCTCTTCAATGCTACTCTTCAACTTATCCATTCGTCGACGCAATCCATCTTGGGCTCGTGCCTGCTCGCCCACAAGAATCACCTCTCGCGTTGCATCGTGCAGCGGAATGTCCGAGATGAAAAGTCCGTTACATGTTAGGCCATCTAAACCATCCAGAAAAGGTGAACCAATAAACAGAAGTGAGTTCGATTCCGGGCAGTGTACCATCTGTCCTTTTATCTCCAGTCCAATTGCCGAGAAGTCCTGTACACCTGGAGGACTATTTAGACCGATCAAAAAGGGTGTATAGGTACGTCGCACGATGTCCCGAAATTTCATATTTAAGCCCTTGGGCCTCTTGAAGTCAAAATACGTAGTAGCCAAGCATCCAAAGTCAGCCAAATACGGCTTATATAACTTACTGAAGCCTCGTCCTAGTTGCACCAGCTCCAACTTTTCGTTCATGATAAAATGCCACGGAAACATTTTGCAAAAACTCGCCGAACTTATGGCCAAGTCGGCAGCATTGCTCGAGCTGCTACGCTGCACTGTCTCGTGTAGCTTAGCAGGTGCACCCACAATCCGCTCTAACAACGAAGCGGAGCTGTCTTTTACTAGCGAGAAGAGATAACGGTAGCGTCGTGCATCGCCCTCCACCGGCTCAATTTTAATGTTGACGTCCACTTTATAAAGCATGCGTGTTAACGCCTTAAGCGATCCCAAGAGAAGCCATGCTATGACTGGACGCTCCGAGGTAAAGATCAACTCACCCTCTCCTGCGCACACAAAGCCTGTATCGGTAACATCATCCTATGGGGAAAACAATAAATACCTTATTTAATAAATTTGATTAGTATGAAGAAATCTTCAAAGACCTACCTCTTGTAACTTGAGCACATCGTAGACACCATCTAAAGAACCTAGAAACTCCTGTAAATCCGTGCCCAAACAGCGAAAGGCGCGTTCTATAATGCCTGTGCAACAGCAGGTGATTAATTCTTCACCTAACAGCACAAGAATCTCACTGGCACTGGCCTCATCCATTTCTAGAAGTAGCTCCTGAATGTCCCCCAAATAGTCATAATTAGAATAGCTCTTGAAGGTGTTGGGATCAAGTTTGCTGTTAAAATTTGTGAAATTATTGATTGAAAAGTGGATTCATTTAACTTACAGTTTATGTATATTGGGCCAGCTCTGGCGATATTTGGTTACTAGGGAGTTTACAGCCGTGTTGAGATCATCATTTGAAGGCGCCGTCAGTAGCTGTATAGCCATCTGCAAGTGCGTCAAGGTAAGAGCATCGTCGGCCAACTCCTCATCTTCCAGGGTCCAATGCGTACCCGGTTCGACAATAACCGATGGCTGGCGTGTTAGCGAGTCGGCGCGACGAAAGAACGGACATGCCATGTTGTGTGTGGCCGTGAGTATTGCGACTGCCGATATCAGTGTAAACAGATCAATCTATTGCAAACTAGTGGAAATACTAAGGTTGGGTGCCGCGACGTTGAAATACTCTATATCTATGTGTACAATAAGTACAGCTACAAATTGTAAAAAGTTGGTTGTACAGTTCGTTTTAAACAGAGAGCTACACCGTTGTCAGAATCATATGGTATGGCAAATTTTGCTCAAGTTCAACTTGTGTGTCTGTATCAGAATTTGAGTCTATAAGTTAGCTATTAATACGCATGTTCATAAGCTCCCTATGTCTCGTGTTCTAACTGCGATTTTTGAGTGACTGCAAGCTGTCTTATGTATGCACATTACATACATACATATGCATGTATATATATGTACATCCCCGTATACAGCCATACACATACATACATGTCTCTGGAGGTCAAGTGCAAGCTCCCACGCCCTTATATGCATTTTAGCAAAAAATGCATTTCCATACTATCTTTATGTTTAAACATGTTTCTATTTTTAATTGTGGGCTCTGCAACTCTCGAAATGTGTGTCAATGGTCAGCACAAACTGGCTCCAAATTAGGCACATCCAAAATATGTATATATTCGTACATACATACATGCATACATATAGTGTGTATGGGTTCTGCGCAACTAGCGTTCCTCCTCACGATAGGTACACAATTTTTCCTCATCACCAAGTTCGTGTACATACTTTTAGGCTTACACTTCCGTCTTTTCGACGATAAATGCGATAGATTTAACTTTTTCACTCTAAAAACTAAAGATCTTACCAATTTGTAACAATCTGCAATTACAATTGCAATTTTTTAACTGCAAAGACGAGTTTTTTACACGCCTGCAAAATCACACAACCCAGGACAGAACAACTTTGGCAAAAACGTTAATGGCAAGGCTCAATAAACCTGTATGGACAAAGCTCTTGAGGGGATAAGCTTTCGTAAAGCTTTTTGGTTTGGTCGAAGCTTTGACACATGAAGAGGGAGCAGTACATTAAGTGTGTACAGTGGAAGCGCGTGGTGTAATTATGTATAACTGTGTCCGTGAGAATAGTGCAATTAACTGTAAAGCTCTCTGCATATATATGTACAAGTATGTATGTTTTTATACTCTGTACATGAAATGTACAAGAGTATATTAGGTTTGCGGGAGCTGAAAAATGTAACAGGCAGAAGGAGGCGTGGCAGACCCCACAAAGTATATATATTCTTGATCAGCATGACGAGACGAGTCGATCTAGCCCTGTCTGTCTGTCTGTCCGTCTGTCCGTCCGTATGAACACCTGGATCTCAGAGACTATAAGAGATAGAGACACCAAATTTTGCACGAAGATGCGTTATGTGTGTATTCTATACGAGTTTGTTTTATTTTTTTGATTTTCCCCCCACTTCCCCCCTATGGGGGTTTTCCCGATTTTCCATTCGTATAATCGCCTATATCTCGGAGACTATAAGACCTAGGAACACCAAATTTTAGTCCCAGATGCCTTATGTGAATACGCAGAAAATGTATATTTTGGAATTCCCCTCCCTCCCCCCTCTACCAAACCGTAACTCCCGGAATTTCGAACTAAAATTTTGGTAATACCCCCAGTTAGTTATTATGTGTCCGTATGCCAAATTTCATTATGATAGACCGATTTAACAAGAAGTTATAGCCATAAATATATTTGCTGATGCAGCGCTGCTCAAGCGCTGCCCGCGGCTGTTGTTGATGTTGCTGTTTGGTTGACTGCGAAAATGCTTACACAGACACGAATTGATGCGCATAGGCATACATACACTCACACAGACGCAATTGCTATGTAAATGTGCAATTATACACCCTTTACGTGAGTTCGAATACCGAGAGAGGTAAAATCGATCAAATTTTTTTTTTATTTTCTTAATTTTTTTATTTTCTATAATTATTGTAAACGTATGTACAGAGTATTTCAAAGTCGGGACACCCGACTTTAGCTTTTTTACTTGTTATGTATGCATTGCTTTACTTTTGGTATAACGGGAAACAAATTTAATTTAAGTCAAATTTTGCTGCTTATCTGCAAAATTTATTAATGAATAAATTACACACTTAATAATTAGTTTTATATACATTTTTTTTGTGGAAATTGGTACGGTGTATTCAAGAGTTGTGACCGTCTGATCCAGCAGTCCGTTCTTGTTTTTTTGTGAGATGAGTAACACAATATTTCTTAGAACTAATAAGCCCGGCATTATGAATGGGGAGAATCTTGTAGATTTTTCGTCACAAATTAACCTGTTGCGTGCTAGAGTAGTTTATGGCGTACCAAGAGTTAAATGCACACACACAGTTATGCACTCACGAATATGTATTTATGCTCTCGCCGACGCTACGGAGCTGCACGCTATACTCACGCCCACAGTTTTGTTTTCTTTGGCGCTCGGACTTTGCAATTTTTCCATTTGTCGTGATAATAAATGTACCTTATAGTAATAATCAATCTGCCTGTATTCCAGTAGTGTGTATCTGCAGATGCCGAATGCTGCTTGGTTATGACCGATTTACCGGCGCTCATTTGGCGATTCACGCTCTCCAAACCCGACCAGCCGACTGTCCAGCTAGCCAGCCAGTTGAAAATTATACGCTTTGGTTCAGTTGTGTTGACGTTGGTCGCAAGTGCGCAACGTGTGCTGTATCGTTTGTGCATGTTGGGGTGGCATTTCGGGGCGGCAATAGCGGTGGCAGACCCAATAACAAAAGAAAATCGACAGCAATTCTGACTGTCTAGTGCGTATCGAGCGAAATACGCGCTTAGCTTGCACATATACACGTAGATTTAATTAATTTTTAATTTTGCCAGAGGGTGTCCCGGCTTATAATTATGAGTAATGTAATGCATATTGTAAGTGTTTATCAACCTTAAATTTTAATTAATTATTTTAATTCTTAATTCGGTGAAGCTGGTAGATTTCCGTCGAGTATGTCTCGGTTTTTATTATTTATTTTGTATTAGCGCACACCGTTTCTTTGTTCAAAAGCAAATTATTTACTGTATGCATGCATATGTATGTATGTATGTATGTATGTATGTATGTACATATGATGCTTTGGATGCTTAATCTAGCTGCAAAGCGGGTCAAGCAAAAGCCAATAAATAAACAATACATGCTTAGCTTTTGTCCTTGACCTTGCACATAGCTCTCAATTGGTGCTTTTGATTCGCAGCACGAGCAAAAGCTCGGACCATATAAAGCATAAGGGAAAGTTTGTTACCAAAGTCCCACTCTAATATGTAGTTAGAAAACCTACAATTTATATGCCAAAAAAATCATTTACAAGTATAATGCACAAAGGTCGCTACAATCAAATCGAGCTTCTACGATTCAGCCAACCAAATTGGCTAATCTAATCACATGTCCAATTTATAGTAGTTTGTGTTAAAGCCATTGTGGTCAGCTATTGTTGCTAATCTCTCGCTCTTTAACAAATCTTGAAGGCAAAATCTCAAAGTATAAGGCTTGTGCCATTCTTTGTCACTGTCGTGCTTTATTTTGCTCTCGTTCGCGATGATCCCGAGGGTAAAGTATGGACAACTGTGCTTAAGTGTCTGCCCATTACAACATTGATGTTATATGTGGTGCTGAAAGGATTTGCCTTCAACAATGAGTAAGTTGTCTGTGTTTATATTACTATATGTAATCCAACTCGTATATTCCGTACCAGTAGGTACAGACGCTCCCAGTGGATTTTGTTCGGTCTTATATTTTCCTGTGGTGGTGATGCTCTACTTAATCTTAACCTTTTTCCATTTGGCATGATATCCTTTGGTATAGCTCATGCGTTTTACATAAGCGCCTTCGGTTGGACGCCGCTTAAATGGCCAATAGGTTTGGGGCTGTATGTACCAGTAGCCGTTTGTAAGTAAAGTAATTTCTCTTCTGTGATTTATACTCTAATTGTAATCGGTTGCAGTTATTTACTTCATACACACAAATTTGGACAATATTTTAATTTTCGGTGTTCCCATATATAGTGGCCTGATAATAACAATGTTGTGGCGTGCGATCGCAAAAGCCATGGCTTCTAAGAGCTTCCTCACCATTTTCTGTGCAGTCGGAGCTGGGTTGTTTGTCATATCCGATAGCCTTATTGCTGTGACAATGTTTTTGGGCGTGCCGTTGCCGTGTGCAAGATTACAGATCATGATTACCTATTATGCGGCTCAGTTTGCCATTGCACTGAGCACGGCCGATGATGGACCGGCCCAGAAATGGAAAACCAAATCTTAGCTAAGCTAAAATGAACAAAACCCCAAACGTTACCACCAGACTTAGTACTTCCAATCTACTTGTAGTTATTATTCATTAACAACAATGCAAATTATTTGTTTTGGAAAACCGTTTAATTTATTAATAAACAGTTGCATATCAGGCAGCTTTTCACGGTATCGATAACATTTTATTAGTATAGCTATCGGCAATGTTGCCACTTCAAACTGCTTCACAAGTAAAGCTGAGAAACTGTCGATATTGCCATCCGATATTTTCGTTAGCTTAAAATGGAATTTGGTATTAGAAAAATATTAACAAGAAAACAATTACCAATGTGCTTACTATACATTTATATCAATATATTTTCTCTAGGTAATATACCTCACCTTAAAAAAGTCCTGAAAAAATACTAAATGAATTGATAGCAAACGAGTTGAATTAATATAAAATTAGTATATAATGCATTAATGTAAAATTAGTGTATAAATAAATACAAAGCAAAGAACATACAAATTTATGTTATGTATATGAGCTAGGGATATATCAATATACAATATGTACTTATGTATTTATAAAAATGTATATAAATATTAGTATTTATATATTCAAAAATTAGGAGAACCTATCGCCGGAAAAAAAACCAGTGGTGTCACAAAAATAAACCCATCTATAGTGCAATCGATATTTTTGCAACTCAAGAATACGAAGTAGCGAACTGACGCCGGCGCAAAAATCTGCTCATTAATAAAGAATACTAAATTATATGCAAAGCAAACAAATAGATATGCGTCCGCCAGAGTTTAAACTTACAAATCCGCCTGAGGATCTTATATCGGCTGTAAAGTTCGGCCCCAAGTCCAACCAGTATTTGGTGGCTTCTTCTTGGGATGGTACGCTTCGCTTTTACGATGTGGCGGCAAATTCGATGCGCCAACGATTTGCACAAGATGCGCCGATACTGGACTGCGCATTTATGGTATGTGAGGATTGATATTTATAAATTTTTTGTGCCAACTAATGCGTTTCCGCATCAGGATATTGTACACGTTGTAAGCGGAGCGTTGGACAATCGACTCCGTCTCTACGATGTTAACACACAGAACGAAAATGTAGTGGGCAGCCATGAGGAACCAATTCGGTGCGTCGAGCATGCAGAATTCGTCAATGGAATACTCACCGGAAGCTGGGACAAGTATGTCAAGCTGTGGGACATGCGCGAGAAGCAATGCGTCGGCACCTATGAGCAAAACAACGGCAAGGTGTACTCTATGTCCGTAATTGACGAGAAGATTGTAGTGGCCACCTCTGATCGCAAAGTACTTATTTGGGACTTACGAAAAATGGACAGTTATATCATGAAGCGTGAATCGTCGCTAAAGTATCAGACGCGTTGCATTCGCCTCTTCCCAAACAAGGAGGGCTATGTTATGTCATCCATTGAGGGTCGTGTGGCTGTGGAGTATTTGGATCACGATCCGGAGGTGCAGAGACGTAAATTCGCTTTTAAATGCCATCGCGAAAAGGACAAGAATATTGAGCACATTTATCCGGTGAATGCGCTCAGTTTCCACAATGTCTATCACACATTTGCGACTGGTGGCTCAGATTGCATTGTCAATATATGGGATGGTTTCAACAAGAAACGCTTGTGTCAGTTCCATGCTTACGACACGTCGATCTCTTCCTTAAACTTCAGTTCGGATGGTAGTGCTCTGGCCATTGGGTGCTCTTATTTGGACGAACTGCCTGAACCACCGGCCACTGTGCCCAGCCCTGCCATTTATATACGCTATCCGACTGACCTCGAAACAAAGCAAAAGTAAAGACCACAACTTTTCATATCCCTTTGGAGATAGCACATAAACACATGTTTTAAGCGAATCGGGAAATAAATAGACAGGATTACAGATATGTATTTTTTTATTTTAATACATACATCCTTTACGTGAGTTTGAATCCAGAGGTATGTTCGATCAAAATAATTGTCTATTAAAATGTTTTAAATTTAATTTTGTCAAATTGATGTAATTACTCTATACATATGTAGGTGAAGTGAATTTCAAAGTCGGGCCATCCGAATTTTGCTTTTCCATTTGTTTTTTTTAATACCCTGTACCCCAAACGTAAAAGTGCATACATACAAGTTTTTAATGAATCGCGGTTACTCGTGTTTTTTGCCTCGCAACTAAGGCATCCTGGAAGAGTTTCCACAGAAGTTGAATGGCCACATAGCCCAGCTCAGCAAAGCTTAGCGCCGAAGCACCTACATATAAACCCAAGATCCCGCCAAAGTTTGTCAGCAAATCCACATGAGTATATTCCAACTTGGTAACATACTTTGTCATAACACGCTGACTGTAGTAGATTTCGGCCTTAATCATTTTCGTTGCGTTTGTTTTGCTGTTGATGATGGTCTACAACTTTACCTTCTCGGAATATAAAGCATTGGTACTCACTAGCTAAATTGGCGCACATTAAGTCCGAGTTTGTACTGTCGGGAGGAGCAACTGTTGTAGCAGGGACAATTCTGGCCCCGTCTCCTGTCTCTGATGAACTTATCCTGACCGCTAACCTTCACGTAGCTGAACACGTCCGAGTTTTCGTGAAGACATTGAAAATCCATTATTCCACATTCGCGGGTGTCTTAAATTACGTCAAAACATAGAGAAGAAGAAAATGGAAGAGTATTTTCGTTATGTTGGACACTTACTAGCAGGTGGAAAGTAAAGCGGCAAGGTGCAGTTACAGAGGCGAATCACAGCCCGTTGCATGCACACGGTAAGGCAATTCTGGCGGTTGTATGTAAGATCGGGGAATCGTGTAAAGTATGGATTTTTTTCGGACTACCGGGGCGTCATAAAATATATAAGGCAGATGAGTAAAATGCACTAAAGTAATCCACAAAGTCTTTGCAAAATGCACCACTCATATATATATATAGTACATATCAGTGCGCTACTTTTTTTCTTTTGAGCTCCGAATTTACTGGTATTATTAAATTAAATTTTACTCACTTTTAAGTAGCAATGACGCCTCGATGGCTTTATATAATAAGCATTGTTCGATGCTTCAAACACAACTGGATGAATAGAGATAAAATTCTCAGTATTCTCATATAAGTGATATGTCATGGAGTGCGTCCACTGACTCGGCTCCTTGACCATTAGCTGTAATGCAAGCAAAAATGAAATATCAGTTCATAACTAGATACCCAGAACAGAGAGACCTTACATTCATGGCGAATGGAATTTTTGTGCCCGGGCGCAAAAACGAGCTATTTAGATGCAATGTGAACTCCAAACCAGAACTCTCACCTGCTCTGCTCAGTTTGTATGGATAGTACGGACTGATAAGTTGTTTTTTGCGCGAATCATCCGAAATAAGTGAATTAAAGACCAAACACTGGCCCTTTTCGGTGCGCTCGAGTACAAAGAGCTTGCAGCAATCGTGGGGCGTCTCATCGAACACACAGGAATTAGGCACAAACAGCTCGTCGCAGCGATATGCTACGTAGCTGGCCACTTCGGCCACACTCAAATCTGCCATAACAGACAAATTGCGTCCGGCAAATGTGCCCAGGGACTCAAAATTGCCAAAAGTCATACCCTCCATGCCAATGAGTAGCTCGTAGAAGATTTGACGAACACTGTCCCCTGCATTAACGGGTAAAAAACGATCCGCTGCTGATTTGGCACGCAACCAGTTTACATGATTCCATGGGCAGACGGCAATGGCTGGGAATTCAATGTTATACACCGGAAGTTGGGTAGTTTCAATAACAGTTATCAACTGCTGCTCGTCGTGGCGCTGTGCCAACACGCTGTACATGGCAAAGCATCCCGCGAAGGCAAAAATCACGACCGTCAGCCAAAAGCATCGCAGCCAATAACGCTGGCTCAAATCAAAGACATTGTTCATTCCATGTACTGTGGAATATGAAGAGAATTTGCTCAAGAGCTTAGTATATTTGTCCCGTAAAGGTTTTGGCGAAGTTGCCTTGAAACGTAAAAGTCCAAGCGACGGCTTGGCCGGCGGCGACTCTAGCTCATTGGTGTAAAGTAACATGACTACGCGACCAACAAAAAGTAGCTGGGACAGTAAACAACAAAAAGTGTCCGTACAAGTCAATTAACGTACACAACAGCTTGTTATCTCTAAATATCAATTTTATTAAGTGCACTTGCTTTGTCGCCCTTGCTCTACATTATAAGGCTGTGAGTCCTTCCCACCAAATTAAGCCTTGGGCACCAGACTCTGTTGCACGAGTTGCAAATGAGTCTTAAGCAAGCAGGATGCTCCGCGATAGGCCCACTCACAGGCGTTCGAGCCTTGCTCGTTGTTGTCAACACAGCCTGCAATCTTACGATGAAGTTCATCGTCATGAGAGGCGACATCACCACGAGCCAACTGGGCGTGAATGTTCTCCACATTGAAACCGGTCTGAGTGTCGAACAGCTCGAATTTGATAAATACACATTTAAGGTAGCATTGGGTCTTCTCGTCGTTGGGATAGTCCCACTGCTTGTACTTCTCGACAAGATCAGCGGGCACGCTGAGCTCTTTGACGCACTCCTCGCGATAGGCAAGCAAATTGTCGCGGTTCTTGACTGCATACTCGGCCGAGGTCTACGGAACAGAATTTGAAACATTTAGCTACATCTTTTCAAATATTTTAATCGCTGCTCTTAAGGGTTATCAACAGCTGGACTTACCAGGCTGATTAAAACACAGATGGCAACGAAGAATTTCATCTTGCTGGCTTGTCAGGCGGCTGAATGTGAACCGTGTCTGAATGTAACTGTGACTGTTTCTGCTGTTTCGACTGATATTTATACCCAGAACCATACGACCTGGGCTCTCAGTCTATTTTATTACCTCCTGTAGGAAAATACATAAAAGCAACACTCGATCGTGACGCCATGTGAGTGCGCTCCGCACGCCCTGATATGCTTTAAAATTGTCCAGTTCTGGAGCATGAAATACATTGTATGTATGTTTTTCCCATTTTTAATTCCGTCAACTCGTGCCGAATGCAGTTTAAATATATATGTGTATACATATGTATATACATAGTATGTACATAATTTATTTTGATAAGCAAAAAGTTTGTCATACAACAATTTCTTCTAAGTAATGTGTTCACTACATTACTCCCAAATGGACGGGGTAAAACAGATAGGCATATATCGCGATTTGGATTCGCCTGTGGAAAATATCTTCTTTCTTTCTTCTCGACTCATCTGAATGCTTAAAGTATGTATATGAACTTGTAAACATCATTGCTCTATTTCTAAGGAGAAAAACTAAAGCAATGTTCTGGAACAATATATTTGTATGTTATAAGCAAACCAAAATACTTCCTTTTTTTGGAATAGGGTATTTTATGAGCAGGGTTCTTAGGCCATTATTCTACGTCACAGAGGTCTTCCTCATAAAATAAAATCTTAGATTTCGGTGCTTCATGGGCTAAAACACATTTCATTGCTCTCCAACCTCTGTAACCTTTATTATAAGACAAAGAAGTGTCTTTGCGAGCCTTGGTTGGTAATTTTCCACTGCTACGGCAGGTAGCATTTTAAAAACATATTATTTGGATGGGCATAAATTTAGGCCGTTGTTTTTACAGGTAGCTGAGATACGTGAAAAATCGGCAGCTGCAGCAGCTGTGAGTTCAATTGGAAGGACGAATCTCATGATCGTCGTGCCTGAGCTTACCAATGCACACCAGAAAAGCATCTATAGCACCGATTAAGGATATGCCCAGAAACAGACCCGCAATGCCGCCATATGAAACTAGAAAAGGAGAGTGTCATGAGCATTGGACTTTAGATTGTCATTGAACTTACCCATCAAATCCAACAAACTGAAGCGCAACACTGAGCGATATGAGAACAAAGTTTCTTCTTGGTAATAGACATCAAGTACTATGAAGCTACTATTAGTTTCGTGGGTGTTACAGCGCTCCGTGTAAGCCAAAAAGTGATATTGTGTGTGATCACAGTTTGGATAACAGCCGCAGTCCACAGTGGTAAAGACGGATTCATTGGACTCCTCGATAATGTTGCTCATTGAATATAAAGATACTTTGAGAAATTAACCAAACAATTAATTTCTAAGGACTTATTCTTACATCTATTCTGATAAAAGCACGGTATATCACTCAGACTGCATCTGCGGCGGCCATCAGAACTGCTGGAAAGCTCCTGCTGTTGCTGTTGAAGGGGTAATGGCGTATCATAATGGCAGTTGCACTTCTTCTGTATGAAGCGCAAATTGCAGTTGCGAATACAATCACTGCGTAATTCTCCAATTCTGTTTAACTCTTGCTGCAAAGAAATAGTCACTTATGCTACGGGAGTATGCATTTTTATGTACGTACCGGGAAATAACAGTGGCGCATGGCGACTGGGCGCGACCTTACATCCTCCTCAGCAGTGAAACGCAAGGGTTGCACAGGCACCACAATTCGATCATCTGTAGTATAAATGATACTGGACGCTAAATACTGATCTGGCTCATGTAAAATGACCTTTGGTGGGAGAAGGAGTGAGAGAGCGGAAGAGATAAGTAAGTAAGGGTAAGGGTAAGTTACGTGTTCAGATGAATGTAAATATGAGCATGTTTTACTTACTCCGATGCTGTTTACTGTAAGATTCGGTAACTGTCGTCTAATGCGAACATTGAGGGCACTGTATGGGCCAGCATCAGCCACGACCCATGGCCAAGTAGGATCGGTATTCTAAAAGGTTAAAAAATTAACGTCAATTGGTAACATCAGTAATAACTGCACTTACCTGTCCGCGAACTGTGTTGAAGACATAGCAGGCACCCTGTCGTCGAAAGAGGGCACAACATCGCATCATTTGGCGGCGCCAGTAGCACTCATGAAAAAATTCTTCACATGTGAAATTAAAATATTGATAGAGGTTCTGTAGCAATTGACCATTATATTCGCTAAACTGGGCAAAATCAGGCACTGTTGCCTTTGCAACGTCTCTTGTTTGCCAAAGGACATCTTGTGCCAAATTGAAGATCTTTTCAAACTGTGCATGATCTTGTGTAGTCGACAGATTTAATTTGCTCAATTTTGATGGGCAAATGGTCACGGCTGGAAAATCAATTTCTGAGACATGGAGATCGGTGCGTTCAATGGAAGTTTGTACCCAAAAATTAAAATAGCGATCGGAGGACAGAATACATACGTAGACTGTCAGGGCGGCAGCCATCAATACGAATGGCAAGCGAACACATCTGTAAAGCCACATATTATATTAAAAGATCCATCTTGACTGTCTGCTACTTACCGCTGAAAAGCCTTAGAGCTATTGACAGTGCAACATATTTCTCGCGCTTGCTCTTCATGCTTTTGCTTATTGATCTGTCCATGACATCCCTGGTCACTAATATTATGTCTAGGTATATCAGTCGACTTTATTACTTTACTCATTTTGATGAACTGATTGATGGCTTATTTTCAGCTAATTGGCACGCACCCTTAGCCAAATTCGTGCTATCAATTGGGCACTTTTAACGTAGCTATCTCACACTATGTTTATCAACTCACACCACACATCGCAACGGTAACACACGCCCTTAATTAAATCACTTTAATAGGTAGTTGGTGCTAAAAGTTTCTGGCCGTGTGACAGGAGCGTACAAATAAAAACCGCAGACTGTCGCTGAATTCGGCGGCAGTCCATCAATACAACGACATGGTGATGGTTAGAGCATTTAGAAATATTCCAGGCGGAGGAAAAGGTTTTTTAGAGTTGGTGCGCACATATTTTCGTCTGTACTGCGAGAAATCCACAATACACTGCGTGCGCTACTTGTATGATCCCCATTTGCACAATATTGAGCGGTGAGTAGTGCCAAAGGGACGTTTACATAGCACTTGATAAACGTTACTAAAATTTTCTAATGATTAATTACGCAAAACGAGACAATTTGATTTAGTAGTTAGCTATTTTGTTTTTAATATGGATGTAGAATGTTTTCTGTTTGGTTTTTTTTCTCAGGCTCATCTGGTGTGTGCTTCTAATAGTGAGCTTGACTTTGTGCTGCATTTTTTATTTACTACTTTCTGAACGCTTCTATGCACAGAAGCTTGAAACTGTTGTCGAGGATCCACAATATCCTGTTTTCTATGTGAAATTTCCCGCAGTGGGCGTCTGTGCGGACAATCGGATCAACTGGAGCAAATTGGAAGCGGCCAAAGCTCAGTTTTTACCTCAAAATGCAAGCACAAAAGTAGAGGATATTTTCACACTTCTAGTGTCACGCATGGAAACCCTACGCTTTGGTGATTTTCAGTACAGTGAGACGGAAATGGAAGATCTTAATCTGGAGGTACTGGACTTTATCAACATAACATCGTTGGCTTTATTTCTCACGCTGCGCTGCGAGGATATAATCGTGCCGAAGACATGCGAGTGGCGACGTGCCCCCTTCAATTGCTGCGACTTCTTTATTCTGGAAAAAACCGAGTATGGTTTTTGTCTCGTCTTTAATTCGGAACTATCGCCCACATCGCGGGACATAAAAGCGCGGGAGGGCGGGAGCTTCTATCCGAGACACAATTCGAAAGCCGGTCAAGGAACAGGTCTGAATTTTAATATTATGCTACGTGATAGTTTTAAGCGTCCCAATTCAACGGCCAAGGATAATGTCTATGTGAGTATTTGATTGTAAAAATGTTGTAATCTATTGCTCATAATGGTTTCAGATTATGATCAAAAAATCGGATCAAATGAGCAATGTAGTGTACTCCATGACGCCGAATACGGAGACTTACATTACAGGTGGAAATCCGTTTATAGTTATATAACATTATTGATTGAATTTTTTTATTTTAATAGTGCGTCCCGAGATAACCAACACGGATGAGACCACACGCAATATGCCGCCAGAGCGTCGAAATTGCCTGTTTTCTGACGAGCACACGGATTTTGGAACTAGCGATGTCACCAAACGATTTAGTAAAGAATTTTTGCTCACCAATTGCCTTAATCATTGCCATGAGTCCTATTTGGTAAAATTGTGCAACTGCTCATTGCCTATTTTCTTCGTAAGCAACTCCAAAGGTAAGCGGACTAATTTCATTGGATTAAATTATCTTATTTATTTTCATATTTCAAGTGCCTGATTGCACTGCGTCTAGCTTGCGTTGCCTATCGCGGAACCATGGTCAGTACTCCCATAAAAAACTTACTTAAGTTCAGTGTATAACCAAATCTCTTCCTTTGTTTATCAGACATTCTCAGCTACGATAAACGGCAAGAGGAGGACGTTTATTTCAGCGCCACCAAGCCGGGCATGACGTGCTACTGCCTTGTCAGCTGTAATCTAATAGAATATTACACAGCCCTGACAACTTTGCCACTCCACATTGAACAGGTGTAAGAACTTATTATATTTCTCATGTAGCTTCCGAAACTCACACAGCTGCCGTTTACAGAAAAAAGGAAACGTCCGAAAAACTCATTAAGATTGATGTGCATTACCAAATCGATACGATTGTCAAATATCGCACAAGTCTCGAGTTCTCCAGCATAGACCTAATTGGTACGTGTTCCTGTATACATTTTAACCCGCTAAATCTTATATGTACATTGTGCTTGCTTGAGCAGCCAATTTGGGTGGCATTTTCGGCTTGTGCCTAGGTGCCTCTATGGTCAGCGCCGTCGAGCTGTTCTATTACCTGACTCTGGGGTTCGCGTTGCATTTGTACGACAATGCCTACTACGGAGTATTGTGGGATGAAGTCAAATTAAAGTGGCGTGCATGGTTGCGTTATTTACGAAATGATTTGACTGAACATCGGCCGAACTTGGCTTCCCAGCAACCACAGACGTTTCGACATCCGTTCAAACACACGCAGAATACCTGGTGAATGTTGACTTAACAGATGTATGTATATGTGTAGTTAGAATCTACATTTGTATAGTCAATAAAACGTTTTATAAATTATTTGTATCAGATACCATATCGCTGGGTATATCAGTGAAACGACTACTGCCGGAGCATTCTAGCAGGCTTCACCCCGTACATATTTGCTTTCAACATCCGATACACCTATCCAGGGGCTGATGAACATCATATACTCGTATGTGCTGAGCTGCCCGAAGCACTGCTGCTGCGGCTTGCGAAAATGACACATCGATCATAACCGTCAACATACCGCCAGAATGGAATGCACCTTCAATTGAATCCTCATTCAGATTGATGCCAAGCACTTATAGAATTATTCGGCTTATTTACGAAAAACCCATTCTAAGTTCTATATAACAGTTATAATCATCACATCACAACACTCAAATGAATGTAAAAACTTGGTATTAAAATTAAAACATTGTTAAAGCGATGCTTATTTCTATTCTCTTAACTATAAAGAACGATATAATTTCTGGGTATATTTTTGCTGCTTAATGTAAAAGTGTTGCTAAGAAGAAGTTCCGAGTTCATGCAGCCTTCGCACGCCACAATCGGAAGTCGGGACTTGCATCAAAAAAACGAAATTCCACCCGGCTCAAGTGCGAGTTTAAAATATCTTAGGCTCCATACAAAATACAAAACTCACTTCGGCCCAATACCAGGCGAACATAAATCAGCAGTAAGCAGACTGACATAAGTAAGCAATTTCGCATTTGTAAACAAACTTTGATTTTACAGTTGTTTTTTGTTGCATCATTTGCTGCCCACCTCATTTGTTTACATTTGGCAATGTACTATATATGCGTCTCTTTCGCACCAGAAGCTAGGTTAATCCTAGCAGTCTTTTCACTTACTGCAAATAATCATTTGCTTGCTTTCATTTATGCAAGCCTCGTACAGCACTTCAGTCAAACCTATCTTTTGGTATTGAGGAGGCTTCGACTCGATCGAAATTAAAATACGGAAGCTACAAAATGGGTCTCTGGACTGGGCAGAATACCAGGCAAACATAAATGGTAGCAGGCAAGCGAGTTAAGATCAACTAGCTTCAGGTGCAAAAGAGACGCATATGCATAGCAAAATAGGCTACGTATACAAATGATAGAGAGCGAACATTGTTTACAAAACAAATAAAGTAGGCAGCAAACGACGCAACAAAAAACAACTGTAAAATCAAAGTATTGTCAGCGCATTACTTACAAATACGTCATTGTTTACTTATGAGTCTGCTTACTGCTGATTTATGTTCGCCTGGTATTGGGCCGAAGTGAGTTTTGTATTTTGTATGGAGCCTAAGATATTTTAAACTCGCACTTGGGCCGGGTGGAATTTTGGTTTTTTGATGCAAGTCCCGACTTCCGATTGTGGCGTGCGAATGCTCCATCAATTTGTTAAAACAGTTGTTTCACACAACCATACTCGTATTTCTCTGCTCTAAAAAAAACAATACAGATTTAACAATTTTATTACTTTATTATATATCGACTAAAAATTTAGCAATTAGGATTTCAAAGCTAGGCAATTTATGCAGACAAATTGCCTATAAATATAACCATTTGACGAATTTAGTTGATTCAGTTTTTAGGCTATACCCAAAGGGTAAAAGTATATACTAGTTTAATGCGTGTACAAGTAACATACAGAAGGAGGCGTGGCTGAAAATACATATATGTATATATTCTCATCAGCCTGAAAAGACGAGTCGAAATAGAAATGTCGGTCCGACAGCATGAACGCAAGGATCTCAGAAAGTATGTGCTAGAATAGCCAATTTTGGTATCCAGATTCTTCTAAGTCACATAACATCAATTGACCAATTTTTATTTCGGTGTATGCTTGTTTGATTACATTTTTGAGATAAGTCTGATTTATAAGTGTGTTACAAACTAAGTCAGTTAACTAGCTTGTTTTTAGAAACTCTTGGCCGGGGCTGAATAGTTTGTGTATGTTGCAGCTTCTGTACCGAATTCTGTTGTTGTTGCAGTTTCCAATTTCCATGTAGGTAGAAATATAACCCCATTGTAAAGTAATAAACCAGCTCAATAGCGCTAAGAAGTGACGCACCCAGGAAAAGTCCGATAATGCCACCAAAACTTGCTGCAAAATAAAAATGTTTTATGTTAGTACTTTCTATTGTCCAACAAAGTAGGTTATCGGTAAGTGGAAAACCTACCCAATAACTCGACAAATGTGAATCGCATGCGCGTTTGATACTTGATGAAGAAGCTCGATTGAAAGAATATGTCTAGGCGCATTGTGCCCATCTCGACTCCAGTTTCATTAAAGCTACCAGAGAGGTAGGTTGTATGTATTTGGATAAATATTATTTAGTTTTTAGTAATTCACGGGCTACTTACTCCAAGGGCGTGCTACTGTGAACGGTTTCAAAGATAAGTTGGACGCAGCTGTTGAGACAGTCACAGATCATGCTGTCCTTATAGACGCTGTCCACATACAAAGTTTCCATAGCATGGCGCTCCACCCGAAATGTATCTAAAAACCACATACTTAGAGATTGTTGAACCGTATTGAATACCGTATTAGGGACCTACCTCGATTATCGTAGAGACATTTGAATTCGGAGGGCTTGCAGTCCGTAAAATTATCTGTGGAATGTGCAAAGATGAATTTTATTTTATAATAAACGACATTAATCATGGCTTCATTTTACATTTTACTATCTATCTATGCATCGTAGCTTAGATTGCCTTACTTACTTACATTAACCAAGGACATTAACTGGCAAATCTGCATATTTTTTCGGCCTCACGTATGTTAGTACTCACCATCGTCACTGATGGGAAAGAGGAGCATGGGCGTGCACCTGCACAGACGGTCGACATGCTCCTGATGGCATCGTGAGCGACAATTGCCTTTCCAGTATTTTAGACCCGGCAACTTCTTGTATCGGTGATCGTTTGTCTCGTCATCAAAAATACAATGCCGCTCAGTAGGTGTTACGGAACGCGTGCGTTGCTCGGTCGAGGTATAGCGCGGCACAATACTAATCTTAGTGTGTGTGTTGTGGGTTACTAGTCGGACCTCATCGCTCCACTGGTCCGGTTGTTTGATCATCAAGTACACGCCACGTACGCCCGGGAGTATGAGCGACTTGTTCAATCGCATAAAAACGTCGAGCCCGGTGCCTTCCCCTGAGTTTGGTGTGTGCAAAGGATAATATTTGTCGTTTTTCTGTAAACATATGAGAACAACTTTTATCGGCTATACTGCGAAAACAAGTACGATAATTTAATTCTTACCGCGCGTTGTCTCATTTTGGGACTGACGGCGGAGTTGAAGACCCAACAGTAGCCGGCTTCGGTGCGCTCATGCTCAAAGATTTCACAACAGTTATGCGATTGGCCACGCCAGTTGCACTCGACAAAAAAGTCTTTGCAATCCAAACGAGCGTAGCGCAGAACTTCCGACACATTAAGGTGGTCAAGTCTGCTGACCGCCATTGCTAGTGTGGCATTATTGAAGAATTTGCCCATTACGTACATACGATTTAAATGCACTTCGGAGGCGGCGGTGAAGAAGCGCACAAAAATCTCCCTATCAGCAGCACTGGCATTGGTCCCCAGAAAATGTTCGACCGCCTCGTGTTGCAACTTCCTCAGGTTGATTCGATTACGTAAGCACAAGCCCACCGAGGGAAAAGGTGAATAGAATATGGGAAGCATAGAGTCCTCTATGGTTGTGTGTATACGCACTGAGTTGTACCGTTCGGTCAGGTCGATATAGACAAGTGTGGCACAAATAGTTGTGGCAATTAGAAGCAGTACCCAAATGACTCTGCAATAAACGAAACAATTTATAAGTTCAGGGTGGTCCATATAGTGCTACTTAAATCATATTTTTTTTTACAGTGACAGCTCTTTCTCGCTGGAAATCTTGATAAAAAGTCATTAGCTTATTTGCAAAATCGAAAAGTCTATGCTTCCTCAGAGAATGAGAGTTTAGTGCAGGATTTCGCATCATTGGCCCATATTCTTTGAAAATGCTGCTGAACCCGCCAACTCGGTCAACGGTAAGCACTTCTTTAACTATTCAGACTCTTAAGGAGAATATTGAGCTTTTCGTGGGATAGAGTCAGAACCCGTCAACAAGGTCATGGAAAATTGAGCTAAGCTAGCCGAGGCAGCCACTTAATCGTGTGCCTCAAATAAGGGAAATGTTTGCTCTTACGAATAAATTAATAATATATTGGAAAAATGGATATTGGATCATTCTTTTTTTAAATTTTTAATAGGAACCACTATATGGACTACCCAGTAGTAAGTTTTTGTAATTAGGTTTGATGCAAATGCATCATTATTATTTGTGTAGTAAATGGCAAGATATCAGGAATTCTTCTGCGCTGAAAGGTGCAACTGTTGTAAGGAAATTTCTCTCTTATTCGTGGACGAACAAATGAATATGTTAATTACTTTTCAAAATTCTGTAGCTTCGGATCTGTTAGATACCGAATACCATGCAACGACGAGCTGTCGCAGTACTCTTTTAAGTAGGGCAGCATAAGCTTCGCCATTTTACTGTTTGGGCTACAGCAGGTACGTTTGGAACCGTTTCGCGGCCACGTTTCAGCAAAATTGTTGTACAGCGGTGGTCTCGGACGCGGAAACTCGTGAGGATAAATCATTGCAACAGTGAATCCCGAAGCGACTTGAGCGACAACTGACACGCGTTGTCTTGTGGACGGACTAAAAATGTTTAAATACATGAATGATGAGCACGACCGACAATAGCTATTGAAAATTCAAATTCATGTCTAACTCAATCAAAAAGCAATTATTACTGGCTCCCATCAAATGGGAGCCCCTCTTCGCCTTGACCACAGCTTAAATCACTAAATTAACACTTGTGGGCCAGGCAGTTATAGACATACATACTATTAAAATAGCCAGAGCAGCAGGATGGTAGGACGGACAGTGTCAGTGGAAGTAGCTGCATATCCCTCTTGCCACAAAATAGTGGACACGAAAGCGCAAGCTGTTTACCCAACATTGTAGCATGGTGCGACAGAAATGAAAGTGACGGGGACAATGCCAGTTGAAGCATAATCTCTTGTTTGCTGTGCTGTCTGTGTGTTCATTAAAGTGTTGTTGCCACCAGGTCTGCCACCCCCCGTGATTACACAAACAGCAATTTAAAGGACTTACGCGCATTAAGAGCCGCAGTGGCATACATACACATAAATAGTTGTTGTTGAGCTTCATTTGACTTATTTGTTCCAAATGTTACTTTAAGTGAACAGCTTATCATTGCTCGCACTTTGGGATTCAATTAACCTGCTTGGAGGCGTTCTGTCCGTTATGTGATTTATGTATTTGACGATCAAATTCATTTTGTCAAAGTTTGTACATTTACAATTTTGGCAGAAATTTACTGTACACTACACTACCATCGTTTGAGAAAATGTTGGGTAGTCCTTTGCGGCAGCAGCATAAAACATAAGCATTGATAGTTGCTAAAAATAAATAGAATGTGATAAAATAAATAATAATAATAACACTCTTTTAGATTTTTTGACCGAACCTGAAAACTGACGATATCACGATCAGATTTCTATATTTGTGAATGGTCTAGTTTTTCTGGTTTTTATGTGTAACATACTATACAGTTAAACAAATAAACAACCAATTTTATATTCTTCAAAACATTCTTTGGTGGATATTTGTTATAAAGAAAATAACAGTCTTACTTCCCTTTTTGTGAACAAAAACGTTTTTATTTCCATTAGTTATCGCATCTAATCGGTTCAAGCTGTGCATTGCTCACTGTTGACAATTTTCCGTTCATGGCATACCTGCTGTGCATTGAAACATTAGCGTTGAAATGTGCAGAGGCACTTTTATGCGAAAACATAAATTAAATTTTCCACTCACTATAATGGCGTCAGCAATACACTTTCTATGTAGTATATGCCTTCATACATGCACATCTTAATCGTAAACATTTAAGGCTGGAAAAAGTTATGCGTGTGTTAATGACTTCCGGTTTTGGGTAGAAGCCGAAGATTCACTTTTACATTGCGGCTTTGCGGGCATGCAACAATTTTGCAAATTCAAGCATCTATTGGCGCTGTTGCTTGACTATAGTAGTTTAGGCTTTCGTTTCTTGTTAACTACCGTATGCTAGCTAGCTCGCTGAATTGGAATTATAGTAATGAAAGCTGACCTTGTTGTCGCTTACCGAAGGTCAAAAGACATCAATACACAGGCAAGTGGCATTCAGTGAGATTCATGAGAATTAAATCAACCCAAAATGAAAACTCTTGCTCTTGAGATATTGTCAGCGTTTCTCACGAAAGTGTGGCAACAAATGTCCGAGAAATCAAACGAAGCTCTAAACAGTCACCTTAGAAAAACTGCCTATAATTGTAACGAACTGTGAACGACTCAAAGGGCAGCCAAACAAAATATTATATAAAAAATATATGTACGAGTAGTACGTTTTTGCTAACCCATGAGCATAAAATTATTTTAAGATATGGGGCATAGCTACCAAGAAGCACAGATGAAGGTAAAGCAATAAATGTAAAAACAAAAGGGGGTGCTACTTTTGAATTTGAATCCAAAAACATAACAATAATGTAAAAACACCTTTGGCGGACTTATTTTGTTGTTGTTTTTCAATGCTATTCTTCTTACGAGTTCTGCATTTAAACATAGCTGTTTTAACTCATTACACCAAACAATATAAACGTTTTCCCTAAATTTATGAAACACTGAAAATAAGTATGATCTGTTTAATATGGGAAAATTCGAAAAATGTTATTTTTCTTTAATCAGCCCAAATAAATGTAATCATGTTGTAGTAGACAGTAGACAGTCAGAGAGACAGAAAATAGGTACGCCCAACTTTGCACTACTCATGTAAATTGCTGGTAAGACATGCTAAAAACAGTAAAGAGCAGCAGTTTGTTGTGTATCCTACTCAGTTATTATCTATATGGCACTTACCGTGAAACTGGCAACAGCCTAACATTCAATCTCACTATTACGAGGCAACGGAAACGTGACAAGCCCTGCCTGCTGGCAATTGTCGCGGGCGTTTCTCACAATTGCAAAATGTTTGAACTGCGACGAAAGTGCTAAAGTCGTTTGGCACGTCTGACTGTCATTTTTGGTGATATGGCCGGGTCGCAGGGGCGTAAAGTCATTTATATATGCAAATTTAGTATAACATGAACTTTAACTCTTTTGCCACAGAGAGCACGCGACGAGCCAAAGCGGACAGCGGAGCAAAAGTCTTCGACACTAATTTACATGTTTTCCACCGTGTTTATATTGTCTTTCCATCATTTTCCTCTTCCTTTTCCACCTTCGTCACCATCTCTGCCATCAAAGCCGCAGTCATCGCCCTAAGTGAGCTGTAATTGCGATTATCTTTAAGGAAGAATCCGAATAAATATTACTAAATACCCAAGCAGGATTTCATGCGATGGAGGAGCAGTTGTGTTTGGCTTCATATTTCGCCGTTGGCAAATTTTGGCGAGCACGCACATTCAAAAACAAACATGCCTTGACTGAACCGGAGCCAACATGCCCTACAATCATATGTTGCAAATATAATAACGAAACCAAAGGATTGTTTAGAATTGTTGAAAAGGTAAAAAAATTTAATTTAGTATGATGATAATTTTGAGTTCCCTTGGAACAAACCAGGCAGTATATGCTTCAGGAGCCTCAATTGAGAGATACTATTAAAGCTACATCATTAATCAATTAATACAGGTAGTAGCTGAAATATCAAAATTTTGTGAAAATGTAAGCAACGCGCCGATTTAATATAATTTTTTTGTGTATCCGGTAATTTCAAGATGTGCAGGGAAATGAAAGGACACAGACAAACTGAATAACATAGCTTAAATAGCCATTTTGTGTGACAGGAAGGACAGAATAATTAAGCGTAACATTGAAAGGCGTCAAAACTTTTGTAATTCTCGCTTCAATGATTTCTTTGTCTCTGCTGTTATTTTGTTGCTCTTTTTGCTCAAAATAAAACAAGCGAGTGATGTATGTTAACTACGTAATAATATTTTCGAATAACTTTATGAAAGCTTGTGAGACTTGCTTGGGCTTGAAACAAAGTTGGCACAGCTAGTCGGAGATTTCCTATTTTATTGAGGTTTTGATGGATCAATGCGGGTGAATAAGCAAGGCTGCATTTTTTTTTTTTACTTAACAAATGAACTCATTATTGCGCATTGCCATTTTTCTGTGATTCCTTATAAGGCGATGTCACTTGTTGCAGTCCTTCTGCAGCCTGCAAGTCGGCTGACACTCGCTCATAAGTAATTTGAATAATTTTCTGAAGAAGTGCAAAATTTGCATATGAAATCTGAAATTTCGCATATGAGAGTTTTTCCCACACTTACTGGTTTTCGCTTTCACTGGTGCATCGACTCGAATTGTATGCAAGAACAGGAACAGGCACATTCGTGGGCATACATGAATGGCAAAGAGGGAAGCATGGGGTGCAGTAGATGCTTTTAACTTGTCTATGCAAATGAAAATGTTTGTACGCAATCGAGGAATAAACAAATGCTCACACGCATACGTAGACGCATACGAGGATGTGTAAATGTGTGCATATGTTTATGAGGATCTGCGACTGCTATTGCAAGTTGTCGTCTACTTGTTTGTTTTTGCTCGTTTCAGTGAAAAGTTTCCGTGTAAACTTCAATGTGAATTAAGGCAGACTTTTGTGCTGGGAAGGAAAATTAAGAAAACTTCCTTTAATTGATGTCATGCATTTTTAATTCAGTTGGCATTGTCTTATTTTTCATGTTTTCGCATTTTCCGTTTTCCATTTCCTGTGTTCCACTAAAAGCAGCAATCCAGCTTTCTTTCGTTCTAATGCCGGTGCTCAACAACAATATATCCTATACTCGTATGTAAACGTAGATGGAGGAAGTGCATTAGATGGTTTAATTTAATTTAATTTTGTGTTTTGACGATTAAACTTTGCTCGATAAAGCACCAAATTAGTTCTTGAAGAACGACAATAAAGGTATTGGCCTTAAGGCTGTCCATTTTTTACCCTGTATCCAAAGGGTAAAGTGTAGTGCGAATGTGTGTCACACGCAAAAGGAGGTGTGGGAGGCCCCAAAAATAATATATTATATTGATCAGCATCTCAGAAACTATACTAGCACACAAATTCCCTATATGTTTAAGCAGTGCGAGTTCATTTTATTTTTATGATGCACCTCCACCCCCTCGAAATAGGGGTTTTTCCATAACCCCATTCATATTGCACACAGGTGCTTTAAATGTGTACGCAGTGCGGATGTTACTTTGCAAACACCTTACACCTTAAATGGGGTATTTCTGTAATACTTTTTTGACTTGTTCATAAACCTTGGTAATAAAGATATATACATACGATAAATGCAATCAAAGCATGTGCTTAACATTTCGCTGAAGCACCAAAGGTTTTGAAGCACACTAAAAGTGAAGGGGTGTTAGTTTGACAGTTTGTTGATGAACTTTAATATGCTAAAGACAAAAGCCGGCTCGTCAA